TAAATGCCCTTTGCCTCCCAGCTCTTTCCTCTATTTCCCTTGAATCTCCTCCTGTCCCACTATCATGCTCAGTCCCCACCAGGATTTCAGCACTTCCTCTTTGTTACATTGGTTTTCTACAGTGGGAGGGAGGTGGGGGGGAAGGGCAACGATGAAGCACCCAGCTGTTAACCAAAATAATGAGTGGTTCCAACCCATGAGCTGCTCCCCGGGGGAGAAATGAGGCGGTTTGCTTGGGGCAGTTCTACTCTGTCCTACGGTCCCTCTGGGTTGGACTGGACCCATTGGGTACAGGTTTATCTACAGTGGAAGACTTTTTCTCCCCTTTAGCGCTGTTCCTCTGTTCCTTGGCCATCTTCACGGGGAGGAGCAGCTATCTGCCCCCATCTGACTTCCTTGCTTTTGTGCCTAATTTGCTCCTTTTACGTCTCACAGTGATTAGCTGAAGATCCACCCTCACTGACACTAACTCACGACCAGAACATGACCAGATCCTCCAGTGGGATGACATCTACAGCTATGTTGTTGTGAGAGAACCCCGAGACCCAATAGAGCTGGCTGCCCCATTGGGTTTTTCAGCTGCAATCTCTGAATGGGTGTGAACCACCAACCTTTTGGTTAGTGGACAAGTGCTTAACCATCGAGCCTCCAGAGGTGTGGGGGTTAGGGTTTACAACAATTCAGCCCATAACAAGACCTGAAGGGAGGAGAGGCGGGTGCTGGGTGCATGGAGGTGGGAGGAGGAGACACTTTGTAAACTAAGACAACCACTGTTTCTACCCTGGGGCAGCTGGTCCCCCTCAGCCTTGCCACTCCCTAACCAGGTGACCAGGGCAACCTCAAAGAGCTCAGAGATGCCAGGCAGGAAGTAGTATCTGCCAGGCCAGCTTCAGAGAGGGGAAGGCTGTGGGGGAGGGGTAGGGCAGCTGAGCTTTGCTTTTGTAAAGGACAGCTCTGCTATGGGGACCTATCCAAGCTGCTCTTTAGCCCTGACCAGCCCCGCCCCGAGCTCTGCACCCTAACCCACTGCAGAGAAGTTCCTGATGGGGTGGCGTGGGACAAGCTCCCTACTGAGCTGAAGGAGGCTGAGGAAGGGACGTGAGGGGACCGGCCTCCGATTTGCAGTGGCCTTCTCTGGTCTGTAGCCACTGTCTGGATGTTCCCTTCCAGTCCCTCTTTCCTCACGACCTTGTCTTTGACCCCACTGGGCTGGAGGGTGCCTTTTGCTTGCTTGCCCTCTGGTTGCCATGGTCCAAGACGGGGAGCGTGTCTCACTGGCAGCCTGTGCAGAGCACAGAACGCAGGCCTAGGAAGGTCAAGACGACCTTGGAAAAGTCACTGCGCTTGGAGCAATCCACTTGAACCTGAATTTTCATCAGCACCTAGCATGGACTCCCTTTGGCATAACATAAAATTAACCATTTCAAAGTGTACAATTCGCAACTGGCTCTACTCTGGTTCCAAACCACATTCACCACCCCATAAAGAACCCCATTAAGCAGTCAGCCCTCATGCCCTCCTTCCATTCCCTGACAACCTTTATCTGCCTTCTGCCTCTATAGATTTCCCTACTTACCTCTTTCAGATAAATAGAATCACACGAGATACCTTTTGTGTCAAGCTTCTTCCCCTTGACATGTTCTTGAGGTTCATCCTGGAAGGTCACTCTCCATGTGGTAGGTATGTCTCACTCCTTTGTGACGAGTGAATACTCTTCCATGTGTGGACGGAGCACATTTTGTTTATCCATCTGTTTGGCTATGGTCTGGGAACAGTCCTATATAAAATATTCGTTTGAATATGTTTTCAGTTTGAGGGGTTATGTATGTGCTTAAGAATGGACAGGGCAAGATATGACAAAATACCCATTTATAAACTATCAAGGGCTCATGCGGGAGGGGGAAGCGGGGAGGGAGGGGAAAA